GAGCGCCACCACGCTTCCCAAGCGGCGCACTATACAGTGCGCCACCGGGCCGGCCCGAAATATGCATTATTTCTAAGTATAGAAATACATGCTATGTTGCAGTGTTCTTGGCAGTGCAAACTCCAACATAACTGGATAGAGTACATTTTAAAGAGTTTGTTCTCTTTACTTGAAAAATATTTTTATAGTAAAAATTGTATTATCTAGGAGTTAACATAGAAAGCTAGGAAAAGCAGTTCTTTTGGTGTTCCAATCACATTGCTTAAGGACCAGAGTGGATTAACTGCTTTCAGCACCTTTTGAATAATGTTTGAACATGTGAAAATGCTAAGTTAAAGTTGTTTCTAATGACTTTAACTAAGCCAAGTATACCTTCTGGAAAAAGTAAAATCTTTCCCCGATGCTTCACACAGGTAGGAAGCAGAAAGCTTCAGAAGTCCCTGGAGAAAAAGACAGGTATTTTAAAAATAGTTTAATTAGAATTATGTGAAGCTAGACTTGATTCTAAAAATAGGTAATTGAAAGTTTATGTTAAATTTATTAATCTTAGAAAAAGAATGATAGAAATATAAATCTCAAGTTGTCTTTGGGATAATTCAGAAATAATTTTATTTTCCTTCAGATCAAAGCACCATTTTCCAAAGAGTTGAAAGCTGAAAGGTACAAAGCAGATAGCATAAGGAGTTCTTAGAGAAGGAGGATTAATAAGCTCTAACACCCCTTTTTCTAGTCCCTTTCTTCTACTTTTATCTCTGGATCCTTCTTTGCCTAGTTGTCTGGTCCTGTTCTTCTTCAGTTGCAACTTGAGATTTAGATTTCTGTGAAAGGTCTTTCTAAACCTACTTACTCTGAGAAGGGCTTTTGATTGGCTTGTAGAAATCTATGTGTTTTGTGGCATTCTGCTATCAAACATAATTCATAATAGTTAAATTCATTTCTTCATTTCTACAATATATATAAAATGAAATATACTATACTGTAAATACTAGGGTTTTGTGACCACCTGTAACCATATAATATGGTTTAGAATCTCTAAACATATGTAAATTTATGATTTGATTTTTAAGAAATAACTTAATAATTCAGTTGTTTACTTTGCTCCTCTTTAGGTATGTTAGAGCGGAAGTTCTGGCTGGCTTTGTCAATGGTCTATTTTTGATCTTCACTGCTTTTTTTATTTTCTCAGAAGGAGTTGAGGTATAGTAATGATGAGTCAGTAAATTACATTTCTGTAATGAAAATGTTTATTGATTAAAGATACATGTAATAAGAATGTTTTTAGCTGTCATTAAGTATTTATTGAGGACAGTGTTGGATACGTTATTATATGTGTATAGGAGTTTCCAAAATAGTTGGAAAAATCAAATATTTTTTTCAATTGATAGCAATTAAGTGATAGTGCTTTGCAAGCTATGGATGAAGTGCTGACACTCTGAAAAGTAAAGGTACAATCTGGGTAGTGAGGTCAGCTGGGAAGTGTTTTTTAAAGAAAATAGAACCTAAGACTTTTGCCAGTGAATCTTTAATATTTGGTGTATTTTGGGGGGGAAAAAAAGGAAAAATTTAAAGGTTAGTGAAAGGCAGCATTTTAAGATACCAAAGATGAATGAGTTTTGGACCAAATATTCATGCATTTAAATACTTATATTTATTTAAAAATCGTAATTATTACTTTTTCTACAGTATGTGAGCAATGGTTTTATTTCTATAAACTGTTTGGCAGACATTTTTTGAGTGTTTTTAATTCTGAATGTAACTGAAAAATTTTGATATTGCCTTATGTTTTTATCAGTTGATCAATCATAAACTATATCAATGCTATTTGTTTGTATTATGTGTTTTCTAGAGAGCATTAGCCCCTCCAGATGTACACCATGAGAGACTGCTACTTGTTTCAATTCTTGGGTTTGTTGTAAACCTAATAGGAATATTTGTTTTCAAGCATGGAGGTCACGGACATTCTCATGGCTCTGGTATGATGGTTAGAACGCTTTGTTTCTTCATTTTCTACTAGGTTTCTGCCATAATTATTTACTTTAGAAAATTGATAATTTTTAAAGTTAAACTCTATGTTTAAGTACTGTAAACTCTATGTTGATTTTTAATAACAAAAGTAATATCACTAGACTCTTAATTAATATCTGCCTAAACCATCTCCTACTTCTCTTCCATCTCAGTGCCTTCTCAGAGTTATACATGTTAGTTTGTTGTGGATCCCTCCAGACCTGTGTAGCTCATCTGTTTAGTGTGATACCAT